ATTTAATATATGGATGAAAGATGGGAAGGTACCCGAAGACTGGTAGAAAGTAAGTATAGTTCTCTGTACAGGGAAAACGGAACAAGAGAGAGTGCAAGAATTATAAAGGAAAAATCCTGTTGAGTATATCAATTAAATGTATGGTTAAATTATTATTTAATAATTATGAATAAACGGAAAGTATGATAGCAAAGGAATAAGAAGAGTTTAGTAAAGGATGTAGAGACAAAATGTTTGTGTTGAATCACACAAGTGAACAATATTCAGATATGGGTTAGGAATTACTTGCCACCTTTTGTGCTGCTTGTAACAACGTATGAAAGGGTGGATAAGGGAGCAATGTGGTATATGTTAATAATAATAATAATAATAAATTTATTTTCACATGATACATGGTTGTACAAAGGAATATAATAGTTGGGTGTACATGTCAAAAACCTCTTTGTAAGCAGAGCATTTTGGGCAAACTTAAAATCAACTTAAGATTAATAATGCTATAACAGTTCATATGCTCATTAGATAAGTTACAATATATAAAAGAGACTTGAGTATTAGGTCATGGTATATATCTTTAATAAGTCTTGTAGAGAAGACATACAATTTTGATTATTAACCTTAAGCGGATACAATAGAGTAATTAACATTTGAGATGAACACAGATAATGAGAGCAAGAATATATTGGTATATTTATGCGAAGGTTTTACCTGTGTTCATGTTACTGAACAAATGCATGTATAGTTTTTGCAACAGCATAGGTGAGGTAGAGGCAGATCAGTGAATAGTATAGTTTAAGTGGTGATGTTTGTGGTACATAGTAACGTATCTCTGAGAGGATGCCAACTGTTTTAGACACTTTTTTTGTTACGTGTTCGATATGGGTGTTGAATTTCAGGCTGCTATGTTCAAGGTGCAGTACCAGGAATTTTCCCTCATTATGTTTAGCAATAAGAGTATTGATAAGCATAATGTTTACATGGACCTCACTTGCTCTATTCCCATGTTAAGTGTAAGTTTATTGACGGTCAACCAGGTTGCTATTTTTGTGAGTTCTTCGTTAACAATAGTTTAGAGTGAAGCTAGATTTGGGTGGGAGATGACAAAAGTCGTATTGTCAGCAAAGAAAATAGGCGTAAGTTGTTGTGATACACTAGGAAGATCGTTGATGTATAAAAGGACAAGGAAGGGGCCAAGAACGCTACCCTGTGGTACACCAGTGTTCAGGGGACTTGTTGACGAGGTTGTGTCCTTGACAGAGACGTATTGCTTTCTATTAGTAAGGTAGGATTTGATAAATGCAAGTGCATGGCCTCTTATACCATAATGATCAAGCTTGAAAGGTAGGACGCTTTGATCAACTATATCAAAAGTTTTCTTAAGGTCGATAAAGAGTCCAAGTGGGTATTCATTTTTTCCTGCGTTATGTACAGTAGATCTAGCATTGTTATTATTGCGTCATATATGCTTTTGTTTCTCCTGAAGCCAAACTGGCAGGGGTTAAGGACGCTTTGTGATATTATGAAGGAGTATAACTTTTTGTATATGAGATTCTCAAAGATTTTGGAAAGTAAAGGCAAGTTTGATATTGGCCTATAATTGTTCACATCTGTTGGGTCACCACCTTTGTGTATTGTTGTAATCCTTGCTAGCTTGAGTGATGCCGGGAAGGTGTTGGTTTCTAGTGATTTGTTGACGAGTAATGTAATGGTGGGTGAAAGGATTTAAGCCGCTCGCTTATACAGTAGCGGTGGTACTTGGGTTACATTCCTTGATTAATTTTTTAGAGAGTTAATAATCATAGTAACCTCGGTGGGCTCTGATGACGCAAGATAGAGGGATGCTGGGAAGTTTCCATCTAGATAATCATTAGTTCGGCTATTGGTAACTGGAATTTTACTGGCAAGATTTGATCCTATAGTTGAGAAGAAGTCATTTATCTTGTTAGCTGTATCATTAGGCTGGAATTTCGGTTCGTTTGGTTTACTTAGTTTAATAGTACTACGTCTGTTCGGTTTGTGGTGCCCAGGTCTTTTTTATGTCTCCTGTCGCTTTAGTGAATCAATTAGACTAGCATAGTTGCTTAGACTTTCTAATTAAATTGGTGAGAACTGACGAATAGTGTTTGATAAAATGTTTAGTTGTTAAGCCTCTCCTATATTGTTTCTCGTATTTATGTTTCATATTGATGAACCTTAGGATGTTGTTAGTAAGCCATGAGCAACTTAGTCTTTTATTGGTGATCTGTTTAGTTTTTATGGGACAATGTTTGTAATATTCTTTGAATTTTGTTTAGAAATATCTCTACTCATTCATCGTTACCAGCGACTTTGGAAAATTCTGAAGGCCAGTCAACTGAGCTTAGTTCTGCAGTGAAGTTACTTATTGATGCTTTATCATGGAGTCGAAAAGAGAACTTTTTATATTCCATTAGTTGCTTACAAATGTTGGTTAGGAGGAAAGTTGGGTAGTGGTCAGTAATGTTGTCGGTGATTATCTCTGCTTTAAGGGGGGCGAGTATGTTTGTCAATATATGGTCAGTTATGGTTGCACTCGTCTCAGTTAGTCTCGTTGGTTTTGTAATTGCTGGTATGAGTAGTGTATTGTTCATATTGTTAATGAAGTCAGCAACAGGTTGGTCATCTGTTAGGCCAAGTTGGATGTTGAAGTCTCCTGCTAGTAGTAGCTGGTGCTTATTCATTTGTGTATCTGTAATCAGTGTTTTTAGTTTATCACTAAAAGCTGGGATATTAAAATGAGGCATTCTGTATATGGCCCAAATTGCTATAGGGTTTTTAAGTTGGCCCATAATGCCTAGGCATAATAGAGGCTCTTTTTGCACTGCAACCCACTATTGTAAATATAAAATCTCAATGTACTGTTCACAAAGACATAAAATAAATAAATAATTAAATAAATAAACAGAGACATTTGCAAATACATATTCACCATATTCATCACTGAAGGTTATGGTATTGCTACAAGATAGTTTATTGGAATAATAGATGGCAATACCTCCCCCAATTTGTTCTGACCTGTAGTAATGGATTGCTGTGTATCCTGGTAGTGTGTAGGTGTCTATTGTGTCTTGCTTAAACCAGGTTTCAGTAAGAATTATAAAGGAGAAGTTTGTTTTTCGTGAATCTAATAGTGCCAAGAGGTCATCATAGTGTTTACTTATGGATCTAATATTGTAATTCAAAACTGTGATATTTCTGGTATTGCTGAGGACAGTTCTGGCTTCTGTTGTTGTGTAGTAAAGACAGTTGCTTTCAGTTAAATGTTGACTGGGATTTAGATAATATAGATTCAGTTCCGGGTCGATGTCAGGTTTGAGCATTAGAGGTCAAATGATAAATATTTAAATGGTAAAGAATTGCAGAAGAGTGATAACAGTGTACGGGTATATTGTTCCAGTATATTATGCAACCTAATACTCATACAGTGATGCAGTAGTAGTAAAATATAATGAACTATTAGGACTAGGTATATCAATAGCACCTAACAGTTATTGCACTAATGCAATAATAAACTTTGCACAGTTTGTTCATTTGATAATATACGGAATAGGTAGCAAAGTAATAAAAGCAATATTTAGTTTGCATACAGAGTGAGACACAGGTTAAGGTTTGTAGGAAAGGAACAACTTTCCAGTAAATGAAGACCTTATACAGGAATGTATTATGTCATCATGGTTGTTTAAATAGTTTTAGGATTATAAAAGAAATGAATGCTAAGGTTCTGGGAAGAGATATTTGACTGAAGATAATGACACTTAAACGAAGTATCTAGTACCATGTTTACATGGGTGAAAGACATGAATTTTAAACTTTGCAGCAAAGAAGAGGTTGGAGTTAGTAAAGATTTAAAAAATGAGAGAAATGTGGCATGAATATAATGCAGAGAACCAAGAGCACAAAGATTAAAAACCAATGTTGGGGTAACAAAAAAAGAATAATTCAGAGGAAGGAGGGCATTAATGAGGTGGTTTGGCCATTTAGAAAGGTTGACGAACAGGATAACAAGAAGAAATTATAAATCTGTAGTAGAAGGAAAATTAGGAGTTATCCCAGGATTGGTTGGAGGTGGGGGGGGGGAGGTGAAGAGGTTTTTAAGTAGAAGTGGCCTGAGCTTCCAGCAGATGTGTGTGAACATTTTGAATCTGAGTGGAGACAATTGATATTAAGGATATCGTAGTGTTAGCAAAAGTAACGTTAATGAAGAGATTCAGGGAAACCAGTTAGATGGACTCTAGTTCTGGGGGCAGGAGAATAAAGTGACTGTACTCTGAAGGACGGGGGAAGATGTTGCAGTTCAGAGGAATATCTGAACTGCTATGTCCACACACTTCTGGAAAGACACTTAACAAATGATAATTACTGCAATTTTTTTTTTTTTTTTTTTTTTTTTGCGGGAGTTACCCGACCTTGGTGGCAGACGACCATTGCGTTAAAACCAAAAAGTTTTCATAAATTAGGGTTTCATTATTGTGGGTTTATAAAAAACTTCCACTTACATTGCATGTATACACTGTTTTCTGCTGCACTAAAATCACCACCTTCTCCCTCTTTTGGTGTATAGACTTAAAAAAAAATACAAAAATGAAAAACCTATTACATATTAAATTTTGTAGACAAATACTTATACAGGATCTGCACGTACGTGTCCAAATAGATTTCTGTCTATAACCAAAGCTGCAGTCACACTGCTATGTACTATTATCTACCAATTAGTACTTAAATGGAATTATGGACAGCAATACAGGCAGTGACCTGCATTCTCAAGCTAATTAGTATGACCTCGTGGGTCTCAGTGGTATCTTAGAATATCTCATCAGAATTCATTGTTTACTCTGGTTACCACTCTCCAAGAACCATTAAGTATCATCCTAATCAAAAGCCCATCGAAAGTCTAATCTGAAAATAAATATCAATGGTGACATCTATTTAAAAAATTTAACACACTATTAGAAAACAAGATAACAAATGCTTATTCAAAGACTTACATCAGAATCTTCATGTTTGCCACAGCCTCGGAGGTACACAGGTTCGTTGTTGATCATAACAGACGTTGAGTTCCAGCTAACAGTACGAATGCCTATTTTTTGGGGGTACTGATCAATATTTCCAGCGTCATCTGATACTGCCACCTGTGACAAACAATTTTCTATAAACAAATTATTACTAAGTTTGTTGCTGTTTCTAATAATGGAACAGTGTATCAAAGACTTTCTTTTTCCAATAATAATTTGCTCATCACAGGTGGATCAATGGTCATCCACCCTCACTCCTCATGATGAGATCATCAGTACTGGTGCGTGGATCAATGGTCATCCACCCTCACTCCTCATGATGAGATCATCAGTACTGGTGCGTGGATCAATGGTCATCCACCCTCACTCCTCATGATGAGATCATCAGTACTGGTGCGTGGATCAATGGTCATCCACCCTCACTCCTCATGATGAGATCATCAGTACTGGTGGGTGGATCAATGGTCATCCACCCTCACTCCTCATGATGAGATCATCAGTACTGGTGCGTGGATCAATGGTCATCCACCCTCACTCCTCATGATGAGATCATCAGTACTGGTGCGTGGATCAATGGTCATCCACCCTCACTCCTCATGATGAGATCATCAGTACTGGTGGGTGGATCAATGGTCATCCACCCTCACTCCTCATGATGAGATCATCAGTACTGGTGGGTGGATCAATGGTCATCCACTCTCACCCCTCATGATGAGATCATCAGTACTGGTGGGTGGATCAATGGTCATCCACTCTCACCCCTCATGATGAGATCCTCAGCACTGGTGAGTGGATCAATGGTCATCCACTCTCACCCCTCATGATGAGATCATCAATACTGGTGGGTAGATCAATGGTCATCCACCCTCACCCCTCATGATGAGACCATCAATACTTGTGATGAATGGTTTTGAAAACCGACAAGTTGAAGAATTGAGACACTTATGCAACACATGGGAATCTTTATTGAAGAAACGTTTCGCCACAAAGTGGCTTCATCAGTCCAATACAAAGTAGAAATGGGCAAGGAGAGTAGAAGTTTGAGGTAATCAGTCCCTCAACCTGGAATCGATGTGTTCAGTCCATCACTCTTGTAGGAAGTGCAGCACAGGGCCAGAGAGGTGGCTTATATACTGCGGTAAGATGAGTTGAAGCAGGAGGAGGCGGGATCACAGTGGGACCTGCCACTAGTGTAAGTAGGTCGTCGTCCAAAGGTTGGGCAAGCGTTGAAGTCTTTGTACGAAAATCCCATGATGTTGCAGTGTCTGATAGATGTGATGAATGGTTTTGAAAACCGACAAGTTGAAGAATTGAGACACTTATGCAACAATAAAGATTCCCATGTGTTGCATAAGTGTCTCAATTCTTCAACTTGTCGGTTTTCAAAACCATTCATCACATCTGTCAGACACTGCAACATCATGGGATCTTGGTACAAAGACTTCAACGCTTGCCCAACCTTTGGACGACGACCTACTTACACTAGTGGCAGGTCGCACTGTGATCCTGCCTCCTCCTGCTTCAACTCATCTTACCGCAGTATATAAGCCACCTCTCTGGCCCTGTGCTGCACTTCCTTCAAGAGTGATGGACTGAACACATCGATTCCAGGTTGAGGGACTGATTACCTCAAACTTCTACTCTCCTTACCCATTTCTACTTTGTATTGGACTGATGAAGCCACTGTGTGGCGAAACGTTTCTTCAATAAAGATTCCCATGTGTTGCATAAGTGTCTCAATTCTTCATCATTAATACTGGTGAGTGGATCAATGGTCATCCACTCTCACCCCTCATGATGAGATCATCATTACTGGTGAGATTACTGCAACCTCTCACTACAATACACAATTTATAGCTCTGGAAAAACATACTACTTCCGTACAGCATGTGACACTGTAATACAATATCAGGTTATTAGAGAATCGAATGTAGAAACCCACATATATGAAGAGGATGATTTTGATATGTGATATCAGCAACAAAATGAATGAATAGAATAGAAAAAGGATATATACTGTAATTAAGGTGAAGATAGAGGACATGAAGATGGAGATAGTGGTGGTAGGAAAAGTTCAACAACAAAATTGTCTAAAATCAGGTAAGCCACTAAGACACTGAACTAGATAGCTGACCCCTTGCAGCCATGTAATGAACATTAACACTTATAACGTTACCACTGAAAATATAAATGGTTCACCTCTAGAGTGTACAGATATCCTGGGTTGTCAGACATAAGGTAGGGCCACCAAAGATTAGCATTCAAAACCATAATAGAACCTTGACAACCTGTGGCACTTGTAACGTGGTCACCTGCGTTATCGAGTAGGTTAATGGAACAAGCAACACTATCAGACTGCTTCTTCTTGAGTCCCATCTGGCTTGTGGCAGTTGTAATATGGTAGTTAATGATGCCTAAGAAAAAGGAAATAAATATACATTAATTACTAATGCTTTAAATCTACTGTTTACAACTTAGTCTTTAGTTAATATATTTACTCTCTCTGTTACAATGAAAGAACAAGTACACTACTATGTTGACTGTATGTACTTATATTATCATTACTGCTAGATTAAACCATACCATGGGTGGGGTTAGAACCCGTGATCAGAAAGTCACAAAACTTCAGACCGACGCATTAGCCACTGGGCCAGCTGGCTACAATGAAATTCATTTGTAGTCACAGTGGTACCTATGCTAACATTCCTATGGTGCATAAATATATTTAGTTGGTGAATCTTATTGTAGCCAGCTGGTCCAGTGGTTAGCGCGTCGGTCTGGAGTTTTATGACTCTCTGATCGCGGGTTCTAACCCCACCCGTGGGATAGTTTGTTTGCAATTGTGTCTTTACGATTTCGTGAGTTTTATTGCTAGAGTCTTTGGAAAGCACCCAGAGAACAGGAGGTAATCAGGTTTGATCCAAGGAAGAGGATGAAAGCTCCAAATCCTTAGTAACAAAAGCCCTACACTATTATTAAGGCACTCCTCTTTGAAAGTAAATTGACCTCATGTGCAATGAGGCTTTTGACACCCTTAATATGAAATAAAATTACTTGTACTGAATTTTGAACTATGGAAAGAAATTTTGTTTATTAATGACAGAGCCCTTACAATACAATACTTTTACAACACACAAGGAACATATTTTCTTCTCTATGACAACTTTGCATGTTAAAAAATGTGAATATTTAACAAATTCATCATGCTCTTGGCAATGTCTTCACCATCAGATCCATTAATGTCGGTGGTCACCAAGATGTCATCAATGTACGTCACAGGCGTTGTGTAAATGGAGACAGTACGGTGCAGACCAGCATAGTTTGTGAAGTCAAAGTTGTTCGACTGTGTGAAGTAGCCTGGTGGATATCTGAGGAACAGAGAATTACTCAAGACATATTGTGTAATCTTAATTGTAAAGTAAATTATAAAAACATGGCAAAACTTCTCTGTGCATACACACTTGACTAGATTTTATTCCTGGAGCTTATATATGCACAGGTAATAAGCTGCTTGGTTATAGTAGCCTTCCTTCACCACAGGTAATAAGCTGCTTGGTTATAGTAGTCCTCCTTCACCACAGGTAATAAGCTGCTTGGTTATAGTAGTCCTCCTTCACCACAGGTAATAAGCTGCTTGGTTATAGTAGCCTTCCTTCATCACAGGTAATAAGCTGCTTGGTAATAGTAGCCTTCCTTCATCACAGGTAATAAGCTGCTTGGTTATAGTAGCCTTCCTTCATCACAGGTAATAAGCTGCTTGGTTACAGTAGCCTTCCTTCATCACAGGTAATAAGCTGCTTGGTTACAGTACCCTTCCTTCATCACAGGTAATAAGCTGCTTGGTTATAGTAGCCTTCCTTCACCACAGGTAATAAGCTGCTTGGTTACAGTAGCCTTCCTTCATCACAGGTAATAAGCTGCTTGGTTACAGTAGCCTTCCTTCATCACAGGTAATAAGCTGCTTGGTTACAGTAGCCTTCCTTCATCACAGGTAATAAGCTGCTTGGTTACAGTAGTCTTCCTTCATCACAGGTAATAAGCTGCTTGGTTATAGTAGCCTTCCTTCATCACAGGTAATAAGCTGCTTGGTTATAGTAGCCTTCCTTCATCACAGGTAATAAGCTGCTTGGTTATAGTAGCCTTCCTTCATCACAAGACCAAACTATGTAAATATTTCTAATGTTCACAAATTATTACAAGAATTAAAAAAATAAGTCTCAAAAAATACAGAAGAAAGCTTCAACCACACCAAGAATACAAAATGCAGTGTAATAAACCTGCAAAAAAATTATAAGTTTTCAATCTGACTGCATCCCACCAAGGCAGGTTAACCCAGAGAAAAAAACATTCACCATCACTCACTCCCTTGCTGTCTTTGCAACACAGACATTACAATTCAAATCATCCACCGAACAGAAACATTCTTTTAACACGCTGGCCGTCTCCCACCGAGGCAGGGTGACCCGAAAAAGAAACACATTCACCATCATTCACACTGTCTTGCCAGAGGCATGCTGCCACAGTCCGCATTCTGCATTCTCAAGCTATATATGTACACACAATGGCATTCTCTATACTGCGCTTGGGTTTTTAACTTCAGAGCTCTTACCTTGTAGGGTCATCATAGTAAGTAATACTACCCTGAGGTATGGTTTCAGGTGTGAGTGTGTTGTTGATAGCCACTGTAATAAGATTCTCTATCCCATACACCAAACCTGAGGTTATCTCTGCCATAATTGGAAGGTGACCTCCCTCATGTGAGGTAAGAGAGAGACCATTGAGGTACTGAAAAATAATGCGGGGTATTAGTGTTATATATGTTAACATTAATAATTTTTTTGTTTCATTAATTTTATGTGAGAAGCCAAACTGAGGTTCATTCATGGTAGTAAGAACATAATGCCTTTCCACACCCACTAATCTGATCGCTTATTTGTCAGACTGAGCAATTCAGACCACTCTTATTTATCTGATCAATGGTGGCAGTATACTTACAACAATTGAATTATAGTGAGCAGACCCAAGACGCAACACTACTCTTAGCTTGTCCATCTGCCATCTTGTAGGAACAAAGAATGTACGATCATACCTGAAAATGAGAAAATTGTATAGTGTGTCATCAGGCATACTTTTAATATACATTAATGTTCTATAAAAATGAAAGATTGCCAAAAAAAGATGTATATAATGCACAAGGTAAAGTCATAACTAATTACAATAAAACACATTATCTGAGCAAGAAAAAACATAGTACTATAGACTGCGGTAATGGAAAAGAAAATAAACCATTACACTGGCAAACAAAAAACTGTAGTGACATTCTTCATGTCTACAGTGCTCTACCTTACAGTGCTCTACCTTATAGTGCTCTACCTTACAGTGCTCTACCTTATAGTGCTCTACCTTACAGTGCTCTACCTTATAGTGCTCTACCTTACAGTGCTCTACCTTACAGTGCTCTACCTTATAGTGCTCTACCTTACAGTGCTCTACCTTACAGTGCTCTACCTTACAGTGCTCTACCTTACAGTGCTCTACCTTACAGTGCTCTACATTACAGTGCTCTACCTTACAGTGCTCTACCTTACAGTGCTCTACCTTACAGTGGTCTACCTTACAGTGCTCTACCTTACAGTGCTCTACCTTACAGTGCTCTACATTACAGTGCTCTACCTTACAGTGCTCTACCTTACAGTGCTCTACCTTACAGTGCTCTACCTTACAGTGCTCTACCTTACAGTGCTCTACATTACAGTGCTCTACCTTACAGTGCTCTACCTTACAGTGCTCTACCTTACAGTGCTCTACCTTACATAATGAAATACCATTGCAAGAATACTTTTTAAAAAATCACACTTGGCATGTTTAATTAATCTAGATAATTTGAAAAATTATGATCCAATTTCAATTACATTATAGAAACAACCATACTTCACAAAAATCATTTGGAAAATGCAGTACACTTATTTAAATTTTTTCTATTAATGTCATTATATGTACTTTTATCTTGATTCACTAAATACAATGGTACCTTGACTTACGAATACCCAAACTTACTAGTTTTCCGGGTTACGAGCCGTCGCTCAGGAGATTTTTTGCTTTGAGTTGCGAGCCAAAATGTGAGTTATGAGCGAGCTGCAGATACGCAGCCACTCGCAGGACATACCGAGGAAATATCAAATATCAAAAACCTCGATAATAACAATGTGTAACATCATTTCAATTTTGATACCACTGGTAATGTCATCCTTCCAGAATGTTCTATAATGTATGCCCTAAATCAAGAAAAACAATTCTGGAACATGTTCGGAAGGCCAGCTGGTTGGGTGGCCAGCTGGCTGGCTGGCTGGCCAGCTGGCTGGCTAGCTGGCTGGCTGGCGGGCTGGCTGGCTGGATGGCTGGCTGGCTGGATGGCTGATTTGCTTTGGCTGTCTCTATCTCCTCCTCTCTGTCTGTATCTATCTTTGTCTCTATCTCACAGGTACACATAAATGCAGTTATACATAACGTAAATTACTTAGGATAACCCAAAAATCCAAATGAAGTGCTATACTGTGCTTGTAGATATAAGGCATAATAAGCATGACTAGTAAGTAATACACATTTTAACTTGTTCAGGAATCAGACGTAACGACTCTGCGTCGTGTGTAATACCTACTGGTTTATGAGAGGCTCTCTCTCTGAGACAGAGAGACAAGTAGAGAGACAGCAAGACAGAAACACAGGCAAACAGAAAGACAGATATGCAGAGATAAACACAGAGCTAGACAGACAGATAAACATAGACAGAGCTAGACAGACAAATAGACTGATAGGCAGACAGACAGATAGAAACAGATATACATGTTTATGTATAACAGTGAAAAACAAAGCCAAGGCAGTGCACGACCATCAAATGTCACTCCACTGCTGCACTGTCAGCAGTGGAGTATCACTCATCTTACACCGTGCTTCAAGGAGTTTCATATGTAATTCAGCATTTCTAAAACATTGCTAGAAAATGGCAATAAAGGCAAAAATCATTTCTTCGTTTTAAATACATTTTTCCTATTTAAAAGCCCATAAAAAAATCTGGGTAGTTTTTTGGGCGGCTGGAACAGATTAATGGCATTTCACTTAATTTCAATACGGAAAATTGATTTGATATACAAGCAAACTGAGTTACGAGCTGGGTCATGGAATGAATTAAACTTGTAGGTCAAGGTACCACTGCACTTGATAAAACAAGAATATTACTATGAGGAGAAAATTACATCTACTTACCATGCCCAGCCAATATGGTCGCGAAGTGCCTTGTCCTGAGTCACATCGTTGTAGCTGCTGGGGACGGCCATGGGTATCACTGAACCTGTCTGTAATACACAACATAATCATAATACTGAAGCACTGCAAAAACACAAGATTATGAAATACAACTACAATGGTTCCTTGACTTATGAGTGCCCCAACTTCCGAGTCGGGGCACTTGCGTTGAGTACTGATAGTGGTGGGTGGAGTAGTGATAGTGGTCGATGGAAAAGTAATGGTGGTTGGTGCAGTAGTGATAGTGATGGGTTGAGTAGTGATAGTGGTCGATGGAAAAGTAATGGTGGTGGGTGCAGTAGTGATAGTGGTGGGTGGAGTAGTGATGGCGATGGGTGGAGTAGTGATGGTGGTGGATGGAGTAATGATAATGGTGAGTGGAGCAGATATGGTGGTGAGTGGAGTAGTGAGGGTGATGGGTGCAGTAGGGAGGGTGGTAGGTGGTGTAGTGAAAGTGGTGAGTGGAGTAGAGATGGTGGTGGGTGGAGTAGTAAGGGTGGTGGATGGAGTAGTGATATGGTGGGTGGAGTAGTTACAGTGGTGGGTGTAGAAGAGATGGTGGTGGGTGGAGCAATGAAGGTGGTGGGTGGAGAAGTAAGGGTAGTGGATGGAGCAGCGATAATGGTGGGTGGAGTAGATATGGTGGTGGGTGGAGAAGTAAGGGTAGTGGATGGAGCAGCGATAATGGTGGGTGGAGTAGATATGGTGGTGGGTAAAGTAGTGAAGATGATGGTTGTAGTACAGATGGTGGTGGGTGGAGTAGTGAAGGTGGTGGGTGTACCAGAGTTGGTGGGGGTGGAGTAGTGAATGTGGTGGGTGGAGTAGTGAAGGTGGTGGGTGGAGAAGTGAATGTGGTGGGTGGAGTAGTGAATGTGGTGGGTGGAGTAGAGATGGTGGTGGGTGGAGTAGTGAGGGTGGCCGATGGCGTAGCAATAATGGTGGGTGGAGTAGATATGGTGGTGGATGGAGTAGTGAAGGTGGTGGTGTGTACTAGAGATGGTGGTGGGTGGAGTAGTGAAGGTGGTGGGTGAGTAGTGAGGGTTGTGGGTGGCATAGCAATAATGGTGGGTGGAGTAGATATGGTGGTGGGTGTAGTAGTGAATGTGGTGGGTGAAGTAGAGATGGTGGTGGGTGGATAGTAGTGGGGTGGTGGATTTGGCATAGCAATAATGGTGGGTGGAGTAGATATGGTGGTGGGTGTAGTAGTGAATGTGGTGGGTGGAGTAGAGACGGTGGTGGGTGGAGTAGTGAGGGTGGTGGATGGCATAGCAATAATGGTGGGTGGAGTAGATATGGTGGTGAGTGGAGTAGTGAAGGTGGTGGTGTGAAACTAGAGTGGTGGTGGGTGGAGTAGTGAATGTGGTGGGTGGGTAGAGATGGTGGTGGGTGGAGTAGTGAAGGTAGTGGGTGGAATAGATATGGGTGTGGGTGGAGTAGTGAAGGTGATGGCAGAGTAGAAAATTGGGTATGGGTGGAGTAGTGAAGGTGGTGGGTGGAGTAGTGAGGTGGCGGGTGGAGTAGTGAAGGTGGCGGGTGGAGTAGTGAAGGTGGTGGGTGGAGTAGTGAAGGTGGTGGGTGGAGTAGTGAAGGTGGGGGTGGAGTAGTGAAGGTGGCGGTGGAGTAGTGAAGGTGGTGGGTGGAGTAGTGAAGGTGGGGGTGGGGTAGTGAAGGTGGTGGGTGGAGTAGTGAAAGTGGTGGGTGGAGTAGTGAAGGTGGTGGGTGGAGTAGTGAAGGTGGTGGGTGGAGTAGTGAAGGTGGTGGGTGGAGTAGTGAAGGTGGTGGGTGGAGTAGTGAAGGTGGTGGGTGGAGTAGTGAAGTGGTGGGTGGAGTAGTGAAGGTGTTGGGTGGAGTAGTGAAGGTGGTAGGTGGAGTAGTGAAGGTTGTGGGTGGAATAGTGAAGGTGGTGGGTGGAGTAGTGAAGGTGGTGGGTGGAGTAGTGAAGGTGTTGGGTGGAGTAGTGAAGGTGGTAGGTGGAGTAGTGAAGGTTGTGGGTGGAATAGTGAAGGTGGTGGGTGGAGTAGTGAAGGTGGTGGGTGGAGTAGTGAAGGTGGTGGGTGGAGTAGTGAATGGTGGTGGGTGGAGTAGTGAAGGTGTTGGGTGGAGTAGTGAAGGTGGTAGGTGGAGTAGTGAAGGTTGTGGGTGGAATAGTGAAGGTGGTGGGTGGAGTAGTGAAGGTGGTGGGTGGGGAGTAGTGAAGGTTGTGGGTGGAGTAGTGAAGGTGGTAGGTGGAGTAGTGAAGGTGGTGGGTGGAGTAGTGAAGGTTGTGGTGTGAGTAGTGAAGGTGGTAGGTGGAGTAGTGAAGGTTGTGGGTGGAATAGTGAAGGTGGTGGGTGGAGTAGTGAAGGTGGTGGGTGGAGTAGTGAAGGTGGTGGGTGGAGTAGTGAAGGTGGTGGGTGGAGTATACGATATTTCTTATTTATTCTTTTTCTTATTTAAAAAACCCTGTCAATAAAACTGGCATGGTTTTTTGGGGGCTGGAGCGGATTAATGTCATTACAATTAATTCCATTGGGGAAAAGTGATTTATGAGCAAATTGAGTTAGGAGCTGGGTCACAGAATGGATTAAACTCGTAAGTCAAGGTACCACTGTACAATGACCTGTCCATTTATTCTCTGTTAATCAGTCTTGGTCCAATACAAACATCTTTGATTTTCTTAATCTTGTTGGCTTTTATGTACACTATGTCTGCCTACTTGCCTGGAATTTACCTGGAGAGAGTTCCGGGGGTCAACGCCCCCGCGGCCTGGTCTGTGTTCAGGCCTCCTGGTGGATCAGAGCCTAATCAGCCAGGCTGTTACTGCTGGCTGCACGCAAACCAACGTACGAGCCACAGCCCGGCTGGTAAGGAACCGACTTTAGGTGCTTGTCCAGTGCCAGCTTGAAGACTGCCAGGGGTCTGTTGCTAATCCCCCTTATGTATGCTGGGAGGCAGTTTAACAGTCTCGGGCCCATGACACTTATTGTATGGTCTCTTAACGTGCTAGTGACACCCTGCTTTTCATTGGGGGGATGTTGCATCGTCTGCCAAGTCTTTTGCTATTGTAGTGAGTGATTTTCGTGTGCAAGTTCGGTACTAGTCCCTCTAGGATTTTCCAGGTGTATATAATCATATATCTCTCCCGCCTGCGTTCCAGGGAATACAGGTTCAGGAACCTCAAGCGCTCCCAGTAATTGAGGTGTTTTATTTCCGTAATGCGAGCCGTGAAGGTTCTCTGTACATTTTCTAGGCCAGCAATTTCACCTGCCTTGAAAGGTGCTGTTAGTGCGCAGCAATATTCCAGCCTAGATAGAACAAGTGACCTGAAGAGTGTCATCATGGCCTTGGCATCCCTAGTTTTGAAGGTTCTCATTATCCATCCTGTTATTTTTCTAGCAGATGCTATTGATTCAATGTTATGGTCCTTGAAGGTGAGATCCTCCGACATGATCACTCCCAGGTCTTTGACGTTGGTGTTTTGCTCTATTTTGTGGCCAGAATTTGTTTTATACTCTGATGAAGATTTAATTTCCTCGTGTTTACCATATCTGAGTAATTGAAATTTCTCATCGTTGAGCTTCATATTGCTTTCTGCAGCCCACTGAAAGATTTGATTGATGTCCGCCTGGAGCCTTGCAGTGTCTGCAATGGAAGACACTGTCATGCAGATTCGGGTGTCATCTGCAAAGGAAGACACGGTGCTGTGGCTGACATCCTTGTCTATGTCAGATATGAGGATGAGGAACAAGATGGGAGCTAGTACTGTGCCTTGTGGAACAGAGCTTTTCACCGTAGCTGCCTCGGACTTTACTCTGTTGACTACTACTCTCTGTGTTCTGTTAGTGAAGAAATTATAGATCCATCGACCGACTTTTCCTGTTATTCCTTTAGCACGCATTTTGTGCGCTATTACGCCATGGTCACACTTGTATATATTACATCTGCATTCTTTTTGTCTTCTAGTGCATCTAGGACCTTGTCGTAGTGATCCAATAGTTGAGACAGACAGGAGCGACATGTTCTAAACCCATGTTGCCCTGGGTTGTGTAATTGATGGGTTTCTAGATGGGTGGTGATCTTGCTTCTTAGGACCCTTTCAAAGATTTTTATGATATGGGATGTTAGTGCTATCAGTCTGTAGTTCTTTTCTGTTGTGCTATTGTCTTACTTTCCCCTTTGTGGAGTGGGGCTATGTCTGTTGTTTTTAGTAACTGTGCGACGACCCCCGTGTCCATGCTCCCTATCCATAGGATGGTAAAAGCTCGTGATAGGGGCTTCTTGCAGTTCTTGATGAACACGGAGTTCCATGAGTCTGGCCCTGGGGCAGAGTGCATGGGGATGTCATTTATCGCCTGTTCGAAGTCATTTGGCGTCAGGATAACATCAGAAAGGCTTGTGTTAACCAAATTCTGTGGCTCTCTCATAAAAAATTCATTTTGATCTTCGACTCTCAGTCTGGTTAGCGGCTTGCTAAAAACTGAGTCATATTGGGACTTGAGTAGCTCACTCATTTCCTTGCTGTCATCTGTGTAGGACCCATCTTGTTTAAGTAGGGGCCCAATACTGGACGTTGTTCTCGACTTTGATTTGGCATAGGAGAAGAAATACTTTGGGTTTCTTTCGAAGTCATTTATGGCTTTTAGTTCTTCCCGCGATTCCTGACTCCTATAAGATTCCTTTAGCTTAAGTTCGATGCTTCTATTTCTCTGACCAGTGTCTCCCTACGCATTTCAGATATATTGACCTCTTTCAGCCGCTCTGTAATTCTTTTCCGTCGCCTGTAAAGGGAGCGCCTGTCTCTTTCTATTTTACATCTACTCCTCCTTTTTCTTAGAGGAAAAAGCCTTATGCATACATCGAGTGCCACCGAGTTAATCTGTTCTAGGCATAAGTTAGGGTCTGTGTTGCTTAGTATATCTTCCCAGCTTATATCGGTTAGGACTTGGTTTACTTGGTCCCACTTTATGTTTTTGTTATTGAAGTTGAATTTGGTGAATGCTCCCTCGTGACTAATCTCTTTCCATTTTTTTTTATAAATCCTCTGTTTACAGGTTTAAAACTTTAAAACTGC